TATTATCTGCATATCTCCGCCCTTCAGCCGGCGACACGCTCCTCCCCTCCCCTGCTTATCTGCATAGTCCCGCCCCAGCTCCGCCTCTCAGATGCCCACCCACTGCGCATGGCTCCGCCCCCAGCCCTGTCTAGTCCTTCCCACACACCTGTCCCCGCCTCCTTGCCCAGGCTCCGCCCCCACTCCTGTCCCTATCCAGGCCACAGGCTCCTTCCTTTATTTACTCCCACACGTCCCTGCTTGTCTGGCCCTGCTTCATCCTTCCCACACACCCCGCCCTTATCTCCAGCTACCCCACCAGCCACAGCTTCCATCCTTCCCTTAAGCCCCTCCCCCTTATCATCACCATTCCCCCATTCCTGCCTGGCTCCGCCTCCAATATCCCACACGCCCCACCCTCCTCTTTCTTCTCCCACAGCGTCTCTACCTACCCTTCCTTGCCTGCTCAGGGGCATCATCTACCTAGTCTAGTCCCATACGCTCCGCCCATGGTAGCCCCCTTCCCCACCCTTCTGACATGTCCCGCCCCTTGCCTGTCTGGTTCCATCCCATCACTTCCCATCCGTCCCGCCCCTCATGGCCCCTCCCCCAGTCTCTCCGCGCGCCCTGCCTCCTCATCCCCATCTCTGCCCCACCCCTTCCCACACGCCCCGCCTATCTACAAATTCACGCCCCGCTTGGCACCGCCTCCTCTCCAGCGGCAAATCCCGATCCCTCACACTCTAGCACACTAGGGTGGACTGAGACTGACCATGTTGGCCATCTTAGCTACCCAACCCCCTCAACTTTGGTACCAGGTTTCGGATTGCTCTTTGGGTCACCGACCTGAGAGGAGCCATGTCGAACTCGAGAGACTCGCTGATTGCTGGAGAAGGGTCTACCACCCTGGTCCTGGCCACGGGCCAGAAGGGAGGGAGGAAGGGTGCAAAGCCAAGACGAGGGAGGCCAGGGATTGAGAACAGAAGCTGTCCTGAGTCCTTCCAGACTGAGACCTGGCCATGGGTGTCGGGAGTGGCTATTCTGGACCAAGCCACCAGGTCCATCCTGTCTGGATGCCCCTCCTCTCGCCTGGATCTCGACTTCTCACTGGGAGCCCTGTTCTTAGTTCTGCCCATGGCAGGGGTCTTTCTCACGGTCTGGCCAGTCTCTCCTAAATCACTGAACCCTTGGGAGTGTCTTTTTTTAAAATTTCTTAATTGATTGATTGGAAACAGGAGCTCCTTATGTAGCCCACGGTGACCTGGAACTTGGGGTCCTCCTGTCTCAGCTTCTGGAGTGGTGGGATGGCAGGTGTGTACCACCACACTTGGCTCAGTAACCTATCCCATACAATGTACTCAAGGACAGGATGTGTCCCCTGACTTCCCTTTGCAGCCCTACAGGTCATGGAAGATGGCCTGTTGATTGGTCCATGACTTTATATAGAGTCTGAGGCTTTGGGGGTTGGGTTGTAGCTCAGCTGGTAGAGTGCATGCATGAAACCAGCATGCATTGAAACCCTAGGTTCCAACCCCAGCACTGCATAAATCAGGCATGGTGGTGCATGCCTGTAACCCTAGCTCTTGAAGGGTGGAGACAGTAGGATGAGGAGTTCAAGGTCATTCTAAGCTACATACATAGGGGGTCGAGGCCAGCCCGGGCCTCGAGGCCCATGAGACCCTGGGCCCTGTGTCAAAAAACTGAAAGCTTTGGAAGGCTATTGGGGAGTATAGAGAGCCATGCCTTGTCCTGGGCATGGGAGATTTCCAAGCAGCATTTCTTCCACAGGTAACAAGTGCCATGATTCTGTGAACATCAAGTGCCTGGGATATGAGAAAACAGACTGATGGACTGGCCCACAGCCTGTGGCTCTGGGGAAAGGGATGGGCAGTTATCTAGGTGGCAAGCAAAGGCCACTCTGCAAAGGTGGCAAGTGAGCTGAGGCACTTGAATGACTGATGGAAAGGAACCTGGGCAGCATGGTGAGGAGGCTTGTGCCATAGTGTTTTAGGATAGAAGAGGAGCCAGTGCAGAGGCTGGGAAAATTCCTTACATTCAAGTTAAGAAGGTAGTGTAGCTGTGTGGTGGTGCATGCTTGGCATCCCAGCACTTGGGAGGCTGAGGCAGGAGGATTCCAGGCCAGAGCAGAAACCCAGTCAACAAGGGTCTTGGTGGCCATAGAAAAGAGTTGGACTTCAGGGAGACATTTTGTCAATGGAGAGGACAAGAATAGATGCAGAGATCTAACAACTTCTTCCTGGATGCTGAAGTAGGAAGATTCAAAAGTTTGAGGTCAGTCTGGGTTACAGAGTGGGTTGAAGGCCAGTCTGGACAACTTAAATGAGACTCTGTCCCTAAGGAAAAACAAAAACAAAGGCTGGGGTGTAGCTCAGTGGTAGAGCACCTGCCTAGAATCCCCCAGTGATAGTCTGGGAGTGTGACTCAATGGTAGAGTACCTGCCTAGAATCCCCCAGTGAGGGGCTGGGGGTGTGGCTCAGTGGTAGAGCACCTGCCTAGACTCCCCCAGTGAGGGGCTGGGGGTGTGGCACAGTGGTAGAGTACCTGCCTAGAATCCCTATGGCTACGCAGCAGTAGAGCTCTTGGCTAGCATATGGCTCTGGCTTTCATCCCCAGTAAAGCAAATTAAAAGAAGTAAATAAATAATCCCCTTGCTGGGCTGCAGGTTCAAGTGTCAACTGGAACACCCCTTCTGGAAAATGAAGTGGCCTGAAAAACATGCTTACCCTTTGGTCCAGACAATTTAAACCAAGGAACTCTTGGTAATAGCAAGCCCTGCAGATGGACACGTTGCCCAAGAAGGGGCTTAAGTCCTATTCCTCCAGGTGGGGAAGAGACAATGTGAGTGTTATATTGAAAAACCCAAGAAAATCAGTGGAATCATATGTCAAACCCTACAAAGAAATCATAAGCCGCCAGAATAAGTGGTTAGGAAAGAAGGAAAGATTTAGAATAATCTGGAAAGCTGACAGTGTAAGAGTGTGAAGTGACACAGAAATAGGAAGTGGGAAGGAATCCAAAAGATAGCTTCCATTCTGTATGGAAAAAACAAAAAAATCAGAGAAGCCGGGTGTAATGATGACTCTGGGAAACTATAAGTTAGCAGAAAGCTAGCTATCAGAAAAGAAAGAAACTTAGGGTGCTGGGGAGATGGTTCAGTTGGTAAGTGCTTGCTCTGTAAGCATGAGGACCCAAGTTCAAATCTCCAGCACCTACGTAAAAAGCCAGGAATGATGAGGTGGCAGGCAGAAACAGGAAAATTTCCTGGGGCTCAATCTCCAAGCAGTCTAGCCAAATTCTCCAGCTCAGTAAGAAACTGTTTCAAAAACAAAGGTGGGGCCAATGACATACATCAGGAGGTAAAAGCACTTGCCACCAAGCCTGACAACCTGAGTTTGATTCCCAGAACCTACATGGTGGGAAGAGAGAATCAACTTCTGTAATTTGGTACACACACACACACACACACACACCCCAAACAAATATAAGTAAATGAAAAAAGTGCTTTTAAAATTAATAAGGTAGATGTGCTGGATAGCTTTAGTGTCAACTTGACACCTGGGTTGAGGGAGCCTCAATTGGGAAATTACTGCTATTGGACTGGTCTGTGGCCATATCTGAGGGGCATCTTCTTGATGAGTGATGTGGGAGGGCCCAGCCCACTGTGGGTGGTGGCAGGTGGGCCTGTGTTGCATAAGAAAGCAGGCTGAGCAGGGGCCAGGGGAGCAAGCCAGTAAGCAGTATTCCTCCATGGCCTGTGCTCCAGCTCCTGCCTCCAGGTTCCTGCCCTGAGTTCCTACCTTGGGCTCCTGGATGAACTGTGACCTGGGATATGTAAGCTAAATAAACCCTTTCCTCCCCAAGTTGGTAGTGGTCAGAGAATTTTGTCACAGCAATGGATAAACAAACCAGGACAGTAGAGTCTGGAGAGATGGCTCTGGCTGCTCTTGCAGAGAGTCCAGATTTGGTCCCTAGTGCCCACGTGGTGGCTAACAACTGTCCATAACTCGAGCTCCAGGGAATCCAATGCCCTCTTCTGACCTCTGTGACATAGGTGCACTTACATACATGCAGTCAAAGTATGCATACATATATGGTAAAATTAAAAATCTTTAATAAGGTGGAGAGCAACTGAGGAAGACATGACATTGACCTCTGACCTCCACACACACTTGCATGCATGCACACACATGAACAGATGCACACACACACAAGAAGAGAAAGAAACTTAAATAGAACAATGCCTAGAAAAGAAAGGGAGGAGTACAATAAAGAATTCCTGCTTCCATTTTCCCAAACACTGGGCTTTGATGACAGAACAACAGCATTCTATCAAAGTTTTAAAGATGAGGGAACCCCAAGGCTTTTTAAAAGCACAGGTGTGAGATACAGAGAGAAAACAAGAAAAGTCTTTCAATCTGACCACAATAACCCTAAGGAAACACAGAACCACCTCATTTGTGGATATTAGCATAAAAATTCTAAATCAAATATTAGCTAAAGGAATCCAGGAACCCGTGACAATAGGAATATGCCACCATGCAAGCAAGAGGGTGATCTCCTATATAGGATGCTATTAAACCAGGTGTGGTGGTGCATGTCTATAACCCCAGCACTCGGAGGCAGAGGCAGGTGGATCTCTGTGAGTTCAAAGTCAGCCTGGTCTATATAGTGAGACCCTGTCTCAAAAAGATGTTATT